CCAAGCGACATGAAGCAATAAGTCACAGTCACAGGCCAACGACATGAGTTCGACTGCAGGACACTCGCACTGATTTCAATGCCATCAGCTGGTATCAAGGTGCCAGGCGTGCGAGCGGACGACCTGCCCAAAGGAACCTTTGCCCAGTGGGTTCAGCACCTGGCTGCCAAGCTTACGCTGGTAAAGAAGATGACTGCAAAGCAAGAAGCCTCGTAGCGGTACAAGATGTGGTCGTGCCTCGGGGGCCAAAGGAGCTGAACAAATTATCCTGGTACTGAGTTTAGCTGGGGCCCCAAAACCTGAGTCGAGAATCTGAACAGCGTGGCCCTGTGGGTCCACACCCGTTGGGTCGACAAGCCAGTGCTTAGTAGACATTACGAGTACGGTACTGGTACTTCTACTGAGGCGGTGCTTGGAGGGTTCAAGCAGTGTCTAGGGCGGTTCGGGGCTTTAGTGGTAGTGCCGGAAGTGTCGGTAGGCCCTTGCATGCTGGGATACCGACAGAACTACCATGTAGTCGCCACGCTCGTCATCGTACGAGTGGTTATTTGCCGATGCCTTTGCACGATGCTATGTCGTTCACGGGTGGCTCAGTCATCTCAGGGTGCCGAACAGACGTCCCCCGAATTTTTGGAGCACCTGCACCGAAGTACCTGAGAAGCACTTCCGCGCACAGTCGGCATTGGAAAATCGCACCACTCCGCATCAATAACCGCATCTCTTGCCCAAGGGCACCAGATTTGTGGGAAGTCCAAAATCTCCCCTTGCTCAAACTCTGTCAGCTCCTGAGACAATGTGATCTGCTCGGGGTCCTATGCTGCTGGGGAACAGCGGCAAAAGCTGATTCTAGCATGCCAACCCACATGACTCCTCGATGTGATGCTTGAGCACCTGGACATTGCTCGAGTACGCTTCTTGTGTCTGTGGCCAGTTTGGGATTCGGCTTTCGGCATCATCTACCACAGAGCACCGGGAAGAAAAGGCACGAAAGGGGTCTGCAAAGCTGTACTCTCTCTACCGGCGAAGCATGTTTTATAAGCAGGTGCCGCCTTCGCTGGGCTGAGAGGAATCTCCAATTTCAACTTTTCTTTCTCGCGCTCCTGGTCACATCAAAGGCTCTGCCAGGTCTGGATTCCGAGCGTGGGAACAAAAGACAACAGGAAGCTTTGGGAATGCAGGGCGTCGATCTCACTTCTCATCTGCTGGAACAATAACGCAAGACTGGCCAAGGGGGAGGACTAGAAAAGGATGATGCCATAGTGCGATGCAAAGGAGTAGCAGGCCGTCCTTCTCTCTTTCTCTTTCCCTTTCCTTCTCCTGCTCCAGACGTTCCCGCTCTCGTTCCCGCTCCTTTTCCTTTGCCGCGAGTTCACACTTGATCACTGTCATGTTCAAAGCTCTGGTTCACAGCGATCTGGGCCCGAGTGCAAGAGACCTCTCGACGATCAAAGGGTCTGCCAGAGCTGCGGCTCTATCCTAGCGGCCCTAGCGGCATGCCGGGCTCGCGGCTCGTTCTCTTTCCCTTTCTGCCTGAGACAGCTTCGCAGACCGGGAGACAGCAGATGTTGCTTCACAGCATTCCATCTCAGCACATGGTGCGCAGGAGCACAAGGTATTCCGAGGAGTGAACTCGCTCGGCTTGGAGCTGGCTGTGGATACTCGCAGCTGGCAGGTATGATCATATCATTCAGCGGGACCGGAGGAACAGGAGAATCGGAGAACCCAAAGACGGTGAAAGCTTTGCTGTCAAAGATCCCCTGCAGTACCCCTTTACGTCACGGGGTCTTTCAATGGTATGAGACAGGTTGGCAGAGCATGCCAGACTTGTAGACTTCAGTGAAAAGCACTGCCGGGGGCACAGGAGATCATCGGCGTTGTGCCCGACAGCAGACCGCCGTTCATTAGCTGTTCCTGACAAGACGCGATCCAAAGGAATGGAGAATGATTCATGCTTTACTGTTGTACTGGAAAGCCTGCAGGCGTCAGAAGGCTCAAACTTCCGCTCCGTGCAGAAAATCGTGTGGAAGTCGGAAATAAGGCACCTTCTGCGCTGCCCAGGACTGGGAGCCTGCCCAGACTTATCTCGCGCCATGAAGGAAGCGGACGATGGCAGCTCAAGCCCGAGGATGTTCGAGGCCCAAGACTTTCTGGATCTTTCAGATTTCGGACTCGCTTCAGAGCTCCCCTTCTGGCCGACTACATGCACTAGCTAGTCCGTCCGGCCTCCTTTGGAAGAAGGCCGTGCAGTCAGGGAGCCGCGGGTGCCGGGGACCTCTGCGAATCGAAATGCGAGTTCTTCCGAGATCGGGGAACAATGCATCTGGCAAGCAATCACAAAACAAGACAGAGACAGGGATCCACCACAGGACGTAAGATAAGCAATCCTTTAATCAGAACAGTACATCAGGCCGGTGTGGTTGAAAGCTTGCGAGCTCATACGTGCAACGTCGCCACTTGCAGCAGACAGCCCGCTCTTGCTTTCGGACTCTACAAACTGGCACTAAGCCCAAGTTTCAGGTGTCCCTGAAACAAACGAGGCCCTCACAGTCGGATCGCGCGCACCGCCTGACCTTACAAAGGCTCATGTGTGATGTGAGCATTCAAAGCGGCCTTGTTTGGAGCATACTTAGTTGGAGAACGGTGTTGGAACCGGGTTGCAGCTAGCTAGGTCCCAGGCGAGCGTATCTGCCGCGCGGTCATTGACCCCGAGCTGACACCTGGAAGCCACAAAGCTAGAATCAGAACCGGTATGCCTGAAAAATCCTGAAAACCTCCTTGGATCTCCCAGGTCATGGACACATCGGAAAATTCCTGACCCTGCAAGTTTCTCTTTCAAGAGAGCTGGTGTCCGAATCGGCGACATGGTTCAAGGTGACAGCAAGCGAGAGTTGAAGAGCCTTGATGCCGCCTGTGCTGAGATTCCTGCCAGGGTCCCGGGAGCTGGCGGCATGGCTGGCGGCCTCGCCAAGTGGCGAAAAGCAGAGAAACTTTTCAGGTGTTTTAATTGCGGAGCCGCCTGCTCATCGAGTTGCTGCTGCTGTTTGGACGGTGCCTGGGACGCGGCTCTTGCCAGGGCATGTAGAACGGCATGGACCAAGGCGCACAAGATTGCCAACACTCGCTCCAATGGCTCCCAGATGCTTCCCGGCTTCTCTGAGTGCGCAGCAAATGGCTGTGGCAGCTTCCCAACATGAAGCCTGCACACCACTTGCATAGTGTGCCTTCTGATCGCAGCAAGATTTCCTTCTTTCAGCATTCTGAGTCTGCTGCTGCGGTGCCCAATTGGAGGTAGTGGAGCTCGCGGCCAAACCACCCCCTTGAGGAATCCCAGGATCGCTGAAACCGATGCAGGTCTGTGAAAGTGCAACAGCCACCATGCCTGCACCATGGCCGACCGTCATGCTGGAGGAGAAGGTCGCACCTGCGAGCCCGAGCTCAAATGTGGAAGGTCTTGTGACGGAGAAAAATCGAGCCTAGGCGGTTGCCGTGAGCGCTGCGGGGCACGGGACCCTGCCATTCATGCCACTCGCATCTACGTGCAGCATCGCCGTAGCAGCACTCTCACATGTCACTTCAAGTACAGGCAGAAGATGACCTGTTAAAGGCTTTATATGCGTGAGAGATGTCGCAGAGGACCGGCGATGAACGGAACTTGCCCTATCGGCCTGATCTTCCGGCTTGCTAAAGTGAGAGGATGCATGGAGGGGAGCCAGGCCCCCATTCCGGTTCCTGAGTGCTTTTTGCTTTTTAGCTGCAGCAGGGAGGCGGGGTGTTGAATCTACCCACATGCTCCGACACCATCAGAAGGATGATCTTTTCGCGGCGCTGAACAACTCAGATCATGACATCCGTGGGATTTCGCCTTGCAGCGACTCTGCAGTGGAATCTCTGACTCTGACACACACACACACAGCACACAGGCGCACACACCCTGTGGCCTCCACGGGTGCTGGGCTTGGAGGCGGCCCCAAGCCTCCCGAAATTCGCGGTGCTTCTGTTGCCCTTCCCCTTGTCATCGCCTTCCAGCGAAAAGAGAGGCCAAGGGCCGGGCGACGGGAGCGTGTCATTTTTCGACCAATCCATCCGTCGCCTGCACGGAAAGTGAACGACGAACCACTCTGAAATGTGCACGCACGCACTATAGCAACTAGTCAACTAGTCACTATCCGCTGGTCATCAGTGGTCGAACAGGTTCATGAAGGGAGATGAAGGGAGCACACGGAGGCCACATGCAAACCACATCACCTTCACTTAGCTTCGAAGCTGTGATCAGCATCGAGTCTGGGTTTTGCCTTAGCACCGAACCGGTCGAACCGACTTTGAGGACCGCGCCTGGGCTGCGCCCTGGGCTCTGCGCCCAGGGCTCCCTGCCCCACGGGGCCCTCGTTTCTAATGATCTTCCAGAAGGCCGAGGCGAAGCAAAGCGCTCGTCCGGCGAGGCGAAGCGGGTGAGCTCTCAACTTGGGTGCGAAGCACAAGCCGGGGCAGTGCACCCATTTTGAGCAGTGCAGCAGCGACTGAAGCATGCCATGCAATTGCCAGGGCCCAGCATAAGATCAGCAGCCTCATCTGCAAGATGTGCTGTGCTTGCATTTGGAAAGTCTTGGTGCGAGTTCGATTGCGGGCCCTGAGATAGGTCATTAGACATGGGAAGCGCAAGGAACTGCAGCGCCTGCCGCAGCAGTCGTCTGCTAAGGCTAAGGTACCTAGATATGGCAGACGGCAGGATTCCCCAGACCTCCCGCTAAAAAACAAATTTGGAAGTAGGGCCCTTCCTGAGTCTTTCCGACTCGCGTTATAATCCAAGGCGGGATGCAACTGCGAGGCTTGTGAAATCATGCGACGTCAGAAAGACAGCAGGAATCCGCCCACAGATGTTGCATTGCCGTGAGGAGGCGGTCACGCCGAATTTCATGCATCCGAACACTGTCTCTCATAGAGGTAAGCTGTGTAACAGGTGCTTTACATGCTGTTGCGGGAACATTGGTCAAGCGTCCTTCTCATGCGGTGAGCGTAAGTTTCACTTCGCGCGACGCTCGCTTGGCTACCTGCCACGGAGGTTCACAGCAGCGAACAAAAACTCTTCCAGCTCTGCATGGCAAGGGTCGTCGCAGGCCCCACCTTGAGCTGCTCGAAAGCTTGACGGCTACTGGGACGTTTTTCGTAGTGGAAGCTGAGGCAACTGCAAGCAAGTCTCAGAAGCGGCCGAAAGCATTGGAAGCTGGTCTGCTAAAAATCGCTCCAAGCTGCACCTGCTGCAAATCTCTCGCATCGAGCCAAATATGAAGTCAGGAATGTCGGGCGTGCGCCTGCGTCAATCCACCCTGCTGGATGCACCCATCTATCCTTGAGCCCCTGCCACTGGAAGTCCAGGGACGATTAGCGCGTTGGACCGTGCCGAACCCTTTTATCTGCCTGTTGATAAGCATCTCTTTGGTCAGGTCAGCCAAAGTTGTGATGTTCTCATAAGGTAGAGGCCCACCGCAGACCTGCCAAGGGCTGCAATCGCAACTCGGTCAAACCGTAACCGCCGTAACCTCCAGACCCAACCAACATCAAAACATCCCCAACTGTCAAGATGTCAAAGGACGGGACCTCCACAAAGATGCAGCCCATAGCCCAAACCTTCGTGGAACACCGGCTGCCGGTCGAACTGGGCTAGGGCAGGCTAGGGCGAGTGCATCGATCTTTTCCGTGATCTTCGTCTTGCTGTCAAAGAGCTCCGGTGCCATATACCTGGCTAATGTGTTTTGCGAGACATTTCCTACCCGGATCAGCTTTGCTTGACAACACTGCCTTGGAGAGCCACCGTTGTTCTTCTTGGTGATGTGCGTGCGACTGGGGCAGGTCAATCGCTCGCGGCAATTCTGTCGTTGATGCTGAGCTGGTGCAGCTATCCCAGAGCCGGTCATATTCGAGAGTTTGCATACACCAAAGAACACAATGTGGAAGCGGAGTTCTGACTGGATATCCAGAAAGCCGATGCCCTTGAGACTTAAACCGTGCCAAAGCCCGTTACTGGTGTCAAGGGATCCAAGGATGGATCTCTGCAAAGTGGTACCCTCAGCATGGACAGGCGAAAATGCAGAGAACAGGAAGTTAGCTCATCTAAGACGATTTTGACTGACAGTCAGTAATGTTTCCGCATTCCCAAATCTATGGCTGTGCGATCCTGTTATCCCAGGAAGCTACCTGCAAGTGTCAGAATTAAATACTTGTGTGCGCGCAAACTCTTTGCACGCGTACTGATGATTCGGTTGCCGTCGACGCCATGCACAAACAAGCGGACAGACAGACAAACAGACAGACAGACAGACAGAGACACAGATGGAGACGCAGAGACAGACAGAGCACGAATCTGCAAAACCTGCGGCAAAGATTGACCATCCGGCATCACCAAACAGCGCTTAAACAATCAACCGTCATCACGTCGAGGCCTTCCTTGTACAGAAACCCGGTCTCCGGTCAACAACAGCACAACGACAGTCAACTTGACCAACTACGGGCCTGCACCTGGACTCATGTACCGTCAAGATACATTGGATGTTTCACGAATTCGAACATCAGTTGGCAACTCACAGCACCACGATTCTTTCATTCACTACGTAGAGTCAACAGGGATACATGCTGTAACATTCATCGGAAAGACTTGCCCGTACAATCGGCATTGGAACATGGATAAGATCAAAGGATGGTGAAACTCTCCTACATGTTCGGAATTGTCAATGCCTTGTTCCCGCAATCGCGATGCTTGAAAGCTGCTGCCCGCGACAGCTACAGCAAGGAACAGCTATGACATGACAGCTTCTGAATGATGAGATTGTAAATGATGAAGGTTCGGTGAAGGCCATCGGCAAGGAGATGTCCATTCTTTGCAACCTGTTCTCCCTTGAAGTTGTTCATAATTGTTCTGCGCACTTCCGAAGCAACAGCGCACCTTTCCTTATGTGGCGTCTTGAATCCTGCGACGGGTCAGCTGCCCATGCAGTGAGAGCCCGACTCCATGGATTCCGTCAAGCCGAAGTCGCAGATCTGCAGACAAAATCATTCGTGAGTATCTCTTGTCGAATCGAATGCCACACCGACTGCGTGGAAACTTATGTAAACCTGTCTGTTCTAGATGCAGTGGGGCAGCTACATGTTGGCTCATCCACAGAGCCGCAGTGTGCCTTTTTTGCCGGCGACCCTTGCTTTGTTGCAAGTCGCAAAAGGAGTCTGAATGTAGAGTCAGCTCATCGCAGAAATGGATGGTTTGCACGTTCCGGTACGGAGTTTCGAACTTGCAATCATGCGATTAGAGCCAACCAAAGCAATTTCCTTCTACAGCCACCTTGCGAAACGTTCCTTAAGTTCAGAGTGCACCAGGAAGCATCTGCACTTGCAGATGACAGTCGCACTAGGCTGAGCACCGGGTTCACTGGTTTACCGCGCGGCTATTTCATCATGCGAAGCCCCTGGTGCACTCTCACAAACGGTGTGGTGGCAGTGGATTGTCGATCCTGAGAAAATGACAGCAAGGCCGGGCGATCATTTCGAAAAGAGTGGAAGAACCCCAAACAAACGACATCTCTTTCCCGGGGATTGCCTGCGGTTGAAAAACAGGGTCGACCACCCAAGGGGTATCTACAAAGAACCCTGGGTCAGGCTATAATCCTTACGCACATCGACAGGGTGTCGAGGATCCTGACTACAGTCGGCTTGGCACACCAACGACAAACACCTTGCAAAGGTTGCACTCCGTTCTACCGCTCTACCCGAAAGGGAATTACACCTTGATCCACTCCCGGTATCAATAAGAACACGGTGTGCCAAGCACGGCACAATCGACAAGCTGGATACTTGGAAGACCAAGTATCCCTTCGCAGCGAACTTCGCTCGCTGCTCTAGACTGCTTGCAGTCTGATGACACTTTCATGCACGTCGCCAGGACATGGCACTCACAAGCCTTGAATGGAGCTTGCTAGATTGAGGCCGAGGTGGCCAAATCCATCACAAAGCATATTTGAGCTCCATGCCTTGGCCACACGCTGAGCGCCAGGAACTGCTGTTGCTACACTGCTACGCTCTTTGAACCCTCACATATTCTAGTGACTAGTGCAGTCGCTCTTTAGGAGTGTGTGCCATCTGTCCCTCGCCCACTGGCTCCAACAAAGCCGTCCTGGGCAGCTCATCAGAGATTTGCTGGCTGCGTGCTAAGGCTAAGCCATCATAGTCGCCGTCCGCAGAGAAGCTGCTTGAGAAGTACCAAGAATAGGATTATGCTCCGCAGACCGCAGACTGAAGCCATAGGACTGTAGATTTCAGCCTCTCTGGTGTGAACCGGCGACGAGTTTCGTCGAAGAAGAATCACAACGTCGAGGGGTATTGGTTTGAGGAGGCATCTGCTTGCAAGAAGGCAAATCCATGAGAATGACCAGGATCTAACGTGCCTTGTAGTATTCAGTACAGTCGTGTGCCTTTATGCCGTCGCTGCCATCAGCAGGTCATTGCAAGCAGGCAAGGCAAACCAAAACAAATAATGGGGCGCTTCGGCGCTGCAGAGTATTGGACTGGCAGGGGGCTGCCACACCACTACTACTACTCTGGAAAGCGCGCTTCAAGTAGCCTTGATCGCTCAGTGGCCCCGAGATCACAAGCTTGGTTTGGGCTGCGACCTCGGCCAGCTGTTCACTGGATAAGTCCAGAAGCCTTTCTGGAGGCAGGGGCAAGAATAGGGGTTGCAGATGATCAACGAACTGGCGCAAGAAGTCAGCTGCCAGTATGGAAGCAAGAGAAAGTGATGCATTCTCGAACAGCTTAGAACCCGTTGACGGGCTTAGCATGTCAGGCTGTTCCGAGGCGACTATGGTGACGAAACAGCTTTGTTGTCATCAGCTCTTACTTTGTTTACATCGTACATGCGGCACCGCGGAGCCTGGCTAAGCTTGGCCGGGGTATCACTTCACTCCCGGCTTTGCGACGACTTCTCTACCAGTGCAGGAATTGTAGTGTATTTGCTTCACGAAATCACACGCCCATCATCGCACATCAGTCGAGATGTGATACATGCTAGCTCACAGCCATGAATAGTTCACTTGTACATGAGCAAACGCAACTGTTTCTGTCAGATTCTCTGATAACATTGGCGAGTCATGTGCGTCCGGCCGGATTCAGCCTCTGCCTTCCAGACCTGTGCCTGCTGGAAGAATGGCTAACGGCTAACGTCAAGCTGAGTCTGCAGGGCGCCCCCAAGATCTTGTCACTGTAACTAGAAACTGGATTTCAAGCAACTTGCGAAGGCAGGTGAGCATGCGTAGATCGCGCAGGTGGGAATTGTGAAGCATGGCATCACCACGCTCCATGGAATTTAATGCAGACAGGCTACGTTCGCTCTCTTGACTTTGCCTGCTTGTTGTCCTCCTTGGAACCCTCAACGCCATTCCTTGGCGTTTGGTGCGCTGAAGAGGACCATGAGGATCCAATCCTACATGTAAAACGTAATTACGAACGATGCCATGAACGAGCTTGCCTGTGCACTAGGAAGGGAATATGAAGACCCGATGTCACCTTCGTCAAGTCTCGCACGCACAACACTTTCTGAGTTGTGGCTGAGAATGCACATTCGGTGGCGCTATCGGATGCCCTCTGCTCGCTGAAAAATCGATGACCAAAGCAGCTCCCCACACTATCCCTAGGAACGCAGATGCCCACCTTCATGTTTTGTCTCTTTCTCGGGCAAGAGGGCTGCTGTCCCAGCCTCCCACGCAGCTGCAACCCTGCAACTGGTCCTTGCCACTTCCGTCCTTTTCGAAAAGCGTCCCCCGAAGTCAGAACACGCGGAGGGTGGGGGCAATAACAGCAAAAACACAGAGTCTAAGACGGGAGGGGGAAAGGTGCTCCGATGCAGGGCATTGTGAGCCTCGTCGTGTTTACCACTGTGGTGTATTTGCTATCAGCACAAAAACACGGTCGACCAGACTCTCTCGCTCTTCTTCTTCTCCTTGGTCCTGTGTTCTCTCCGGCATGGGTACGGTCTGGACGCCCCGCGCCGAAGGCACCCCAGATGTATGGGTTTGCGAGTATGGTCGGTTCAAGCACAGATAGCAAATGTTTGCAAAATGAGCCCTCTACCCATGCAGATACTCTGCTATTCGAACATGCACTTTGCTATGTCACCTGTGGTGGTGGCGTTGCGGGGAGGTATCATAATTTTTGGTGGTCCCTCGGCCTTGTGCAAACTGGAGCCTGCAGGAAACTACCGTCGATAAGACAGAAAAGAAGTTACTTCGTCCAGTGTTCGCGACTATGCATGTCTGTATATACAATGACAGTTCTGGCCTGAAGCAGTAGCAAAGAAACGTTGCGGCGATGCTGTGGCAGGCGCAACTTACAGACTGACAGTGGCAGAAGAATGTAGCAGCAAAAAGACTAATTATGAGAAACCTTGAGGTTTACGATCGTCCACCCTCCAATTCTCCCAAGGTTCAACGAGAGTACGTTCCGGTAAGCGGCAATCTCCTGGCAGGAAGGTGGATAAGGTAAGCAGGGCCAAAGCGAATTTCTGCGCAACGTCACGGATCTGGGATGTGTAGATGGCCCGCAGTCAGCGGTCTAGCTACAAGCTGACAAGCTGGAGATCTTGTTTTCCAAGAGTCTCGGCAGTGGAATTTTTAGAAACGCGAGCATGATCAAACGTACGCAAGCTGGCGTCCTCGCGATCCATGCGGCGCAGCTGCACGGCACGCTTTAGCTTTGAAGGATCCTCCGTAAGCTCACCTTCGCAGCAGAGTGATCGAAGCTGATTCTAAAATCCGTCATGTTGGCGGGAACACACACTCGACAACAGCAAGTGAGTTGATGTTGGTTTGACATTCTTCACGTGTCACATCACCATCGTCGCCCTGCAGCCCGGAAGAACGTACTTGAGGCTCAATTCGACCGCGGTGCTGAGGGACGACTTCATCTTCTTTGCCAGGTGCTGGTCAGCGGTCCTGGAGGAAGTCTTGTCATGGAGCAGGCAAATTAAACAAGCTCACAGCCAGCAGCCGTGCTAATCAGCTAATCCTTAACCACAAAATGCAGAACAACTATTTATAAAGGGAGGGGGGCTGCCAGCACGGTCAGGAGTATCTGCAAAAGTTGTGTGATGCCGTCCTGTTCACAGGAACTGCATGTCCTTCCTTCAGCGCCTTCAAGTCCTGGGCATCCACCTGTTCAGCACACTCCCAGCACAAGCATAAATGGCATCAGCGTTGCGGCGCATGCTCCGAGCAGCCTCATGTTTCCAGGAGTTGTAGTCCTGTTGGACGGAAGGCTCGTCACATTCCACCATACGATCTCAGGGCAACGGCGCAACCGAACACAGCAGCCACACATGGAATGCCTCACTTGCTACCAGGCTGCTGTCACCCACTTGAAGAACGCACCTAAGTGGACCGTGACTTGGGCCTGTGCCTGCTATCCCCGAACCTTCGCAGCAGACTCTGCTTCTGTGCTTTTGGTGAAATGTTCTCCCCTTGATCCTTTCTCGGTCTTCGCTCACACTTGGTTCCTCCCATGCTCTCTAGGACGATTCAAGCTGGACGCTTTGCGATGTCCCCAGGTTGCTGTGTCTGTTGGGCATCCGCAGATATCCCACCGTCCCTCATCAAGTACAGTATGTCGCGGCTGACCGCTGGGTAAACCGTCTTTCATGGCTGCTCCTTTGGTGCATTCTGAACGCAGTCGGGCACTCCACACGACGAAATCTTGTTGATCTACTCCAACTTCGCCGTCGTCTTCTTCCTCTTCCTCGCATCTGCCTCCACCGTCTCCTGATGTCGATCGCATGATGATGAAACATGACCTTGATCACCATACTGATCGCGAAGACCGCAATGACGACGAAGAAAAACATGTTTCGGGGGCGATGCATCAGCACCGCACCAGCGTCATCAGCATCACAACCACAGACAGTAGGGACAAACGTCGCGACGAGGCAGTGGCGATCCGAAGAGGAACAATTTTCTTCATGTCTGTTCAGCCATGTCGCGAGGGGTATGACGTATTTGACGGCAGTAGATTGGGTCCAGCAACAACCCCTTTCTTGTCTTCGAATATCTTCTGTTGCAAGATGCTGCAAACGGAAGACTTGATGCAGTTACACATTCCAACACAAGGAGCTTGGTTGCTAAGCTCAGGCGCCTCCGCAAGTCGGCCAGCTTGTCAACCGCTGCAGCTTCGGACGCTGAAGCTTCGGATAACGTTGACTTAGTTGACTTCACCTGCTTCGGAACCTGGCAGCACAGAAACTCATAGCTCGCAGGTTGTACTGCGTGCCAGGCGGGTCCCGATAGACCAAGCCCACGGCATCTCGGAGCTTTGACATGGCCTGTGGTAGCGGCATTCGCTCAGCTGAACAAGACTTGCAGCAAATTGGCGCACGGAAGCAAGCCAGGCTTTGCAAATCCGTAGCTGTGGAGCATGTCGCGTCTAGCTTCGCGAGAGACAATCTGCTTAAATATCGGATTGAACTCACAATTCAACCCATTCCGACCCACTTTTCCAGACACTGCGTTGCGTTTGTGATGGCTTTTGCTCTGGCATTGTCATGGTGGGGTGCTCTTTTCGCTGATAGCAACACTGGTGGCGTCAATGCTTCTGCAGACTGCTGCCACGCTAGTAGCTACACTTTGTTTAAACTTCTGAAACAACCTGCAGCTCAACCTTTGTGAGTATGTTCTCTTGAAGCACACAGCCGTCAGTATTTCCTGCAGGACACCCTCGCAACGTGTCTCGTGATTGTGTTGCGCCCCTTGCGGCCTCCTTCGTCGGAAAGGCATGTGCATGTGCGGAGTGCTGCTGCGCCTTGGCCTGCGCGACGTGGCAAAGAGGCTGACATTGAGCTGTTGCGAGTGAGGTAAGGTCTAAAGGGCGACACTGGTCACTGGTTGGTCGCCACAGTACAAGCACTGGCCACAAGAGCACGAGGCCTTGCACGGTCACTCAAGCTGAGGCAAAATGAGCACTGGCATAATCTGCGTTCTTCTTGCGGCTGTCTCCATGCTGATTGACGTGTCAGGCCTCTGCTACTGTCGAACTCCTTAGAAGACAAGTCCAAGTTGGAGCTTCAAAGATGCTCTACGCAGGAAGTCAACTCTTTCATCTGCCCGTGTAAGTCTTCCAACTTTCGGACAGCCCAGTTGCTGAGAGCAGCCCATTGTTGCGGTTGCACGGCCACCAGTCTGAGCAGGTTCTGACACCTCGAAGCGCACAGCCACTTAGCCCCAAACAGCTCTACAGCAAAGCAAGTCGCAGCTTTGCCGCCGCCTTGTCTTCGACAAGCTGAGGACAAGCTACGCGGAGTAAAACGAAATCCTACCTTACACCTAGACGCATCATCTTTGAGCCAGATGTGACGACAACAGCCGGCCATCTCCACGAACATCAAGCAAAAAACATCATCGTTCTCGAGCGGTTCAGCTGGCTAGCTAGATGTAGAGTCATCTTGACGGCTGCTAGTGCCCAGTGAGGTGCAATCTCTCCGATGGAGCCTTGATGTTTAAGCTCAAGTCCAGGACAACGTTCAAGGACTTCAGATCGCGGTGCACGATGGTGGGGGTTTGGCTGTGCAAGTACCTGAAGTTGCGCCATGCCAGAAACGGGATACCAACAGTTTAATGAGATGCAGGGTCACGAAACCCCATCTGCAATCCTTGGGTGCAGTGCGAGTGGACTGGCTATTGCAAGATCGCGAAGCTTGCCTCAATGGAGCCAAGATTCTGGATGCACATGTTCATTGCATGGCTTGCCGGCAGCTTTTGCCTCGGACCGCCCCCAGAAGCCCCAAGGACCCAGGAGCCCTTCAAAGCTCAGCTCGGAGTCGCGTGCCGTCGCACATGCAGCAGGTGGTGAAGGGACCCTCCTGGCATGTACCTCACAGCCACAGCTTCGCCACGTCAAGGCGCTACGATGCCCACACCGTCGGGATGCTGAAGGAATTTTCTGCGAGAATGTTTGCCCTTTCAACACAGCCGAGGGGCTCTGTGACAAGGCATAAGTTGGGCAGCTCCAAGCATGCTCCCAAGAAGCGCACCTTGAGGGTCAAACGTGCTAATTGCCAGCAGCAGAGGGCTGCAGAAGACTTCTCCGAGCCCGACCAAGCGCTTGTGGCTGAGGTGGCGAAAGGAGTCGATCTCTCTGGCCAAATCCTCTGCAATCTCAGTCTCAGCTCACCTTTCTGATTCTGGGCTTGTGAAGAGCAATCTGCATGGCGGTTTGAAAGACCTGCGCGGCCGCTGTGACTTGGTGTGCTCAACGGATCCTGTACCACCAGCTCCGTCATGTTCTCATCGAAAAAGAGCTGCTTGATGGCCACCTGCTACTGAAGGCGTGACTGCGAATGCTTTTGGATGATAGCTTCATCCGAAACGCTTCTCTTCTCATCTGCTTGACCTCCTAAGCCGGCCTCCTTGTTGAGGTACAGGCCACGGAAAACCTCAAACACAACTGAAAACTGAAAAACATTGGCAAGACTTCAAAAACAATGTGCTTATCTTCCTGCTGCCTGTTCATCTGATCTGTAGTTAGTCTTCACATGTCTTGACGGATATCCTGGCCTCTCCGAACTCGCCTTTACCCAGACGTTCGACGAAGGTCAGCTCGCCGTATCGAACCTGCAAGACAGCTCAGGCTGGGATTCGCCAACCCTTCCGATCGTTGAAGACTCCCATCCTTCAGCTTCCCTCTTCTTTGCGCCTTCTCGGGCTCTGTCAGGTCCCTGCTCAGAATCCACAACAGGCTCATGTCATGTCATGTCTCAAGTTGCACATGCTCAGACTGCACCAGCAACACTGGATGCGAGCGTTAGGCATAGTCCACTGACCAGACATGACAGGAACAGGCAAACCCACCGTCGGGTATGCACCGGATGCTCTGAGACCGCGTGACTCCCATGAAGCGCACGCACAAACACGATCTTGGATCCCTTTTCAAGGCAGATCTGGGTCCGTACTCAACCCGAGAGGAGAGCCTCATCACTTTTTTATATTCAGATGAAGGCTCCTTAAGACCGCTTCGACTGCTCATTCTGGCAGCCTCTCCAGTGCCTCGCGTGGGGTAGAGAAGCCAAACCTCACTGGTTTGTCGAACGAAGGCTGCGGTTGGGCGTCGAGTTCCCTATGGTCTGCCGCAGCTTGGTGGCAAAATGCCCAGACTTGTCGGGACCCCAGCTTTGTTGGGACTGGCACGGGAGCCTCCACCTGCCCAGTTGCAACGAGTGCGCGATGGAGCAGATCTACGTCGGTCAGACGAGAAGATTCCAAAGTGAAAACCTCCTAATTCGCCTCGGCCCCGGCCGAAGCGGTCAGAGGTTCCTATTCGGATTCCCTCTATTCCCCACCTCTTAATCCCCTCCCCAGTCACCCCCACCCCTCAAAGTTACCACTGTGAAGGGGGGGGTCCCTCTGTGTGAACCCATAAATGAGCCCCATGGTCCGG